AGTCCTGTCAGTAGGGTTTCCAACTTTTGATCCTTTTCCGTGACATCGCCTCTGCCCTGAATTCTAAGTCTGCGCCTTGTGTACTGCTGACCCTTTCGCAATCATCCACTGTCCTTTTTTTCGAGGTAGGTTCCATACCGGAAGACATTTTTATTGAGCTCATAATCTGTTAGATCAGGAATACGCCAATGCGAATATAGAAGTGTTCGTGTTGCTTCCAAGTTGCTAATGTGCTTTCATCTCTTCGACACCACCATTTACTCCCTGAATTGACTACACAGCTTAGATAGAAACTGCCGTTCAACTGAAGTTACCGGCCGACTACCATGATTTTGTAGCGACTACTGCTTCTTTAATCGTTACTGTCTAAATTAACCCAGAAGTCTACATTTGCAACGCGACTAGCCTCTGCTCATGAGCGTCCAGTGTTTGATAACATGATAGTTATCATGTTTGATCGATTTCAAGCCAATCAGATGCGTTCTTCACAATAGTGACCCAGCCAAAGAATGACTTTAGTAATACCTTCAGTTGAATCTCCCTTATTTAATTTAGCTGGAACAGCCAAATTTCGATTCAATAAGGTATTTTAAAATTAGAATTGAGAGGAGTAAGGTCGAAGCATAGGGCACTCCACGTGTTAACAAGTAGTACAATAGCGTGGCCGCACCTTCTGACCCTCTTTGGAATGCTGCATCGATGCTTCCAGAGCTCAAGACTTTCTGGTTGCAGCAGGAGATTGAAGAGGAATTCTTAGGATTTTTTTTCAAAAAGATGCAGGATCAGATGGAAATGTTACAACATAAATCTCCTAAGCAACAAACTAAATCTTTTTTTCGTGGCCCCCGGCACTACTTAAATATATGCATGGAGAAAAATTTCTCCATGCATATATTTAAGAATAAAATTTAGGGTGCTGTTTAATTTTGGGCCTGGGTTCAACCTGGGACTCGTAATTTGAGTGGAGTAATAGAGATTTTTGACTTAGAAAATAATAAAAAATGGAAGCTCTGCTGTATACAATCGAGGGGGACAGGTTGGGTCGCACTTAGTACGTGTAGGGTACACCCAACCGCGTGATTTATTGATGAAACACACATAGGCCTCGGCAAGGTTAGGTAAGACAACTTTCGTTATTCAATAAAATGGTAAAAATATTGTAAAAGAGTAAAGGGAGGCAAGGGGTTAGAAAGCGGGTAAAGTAATGGAAAAGACGATCTCATTATTTGATTACCCGGTAATTACAGGTTAAAATATGTTTAAGTCTGACTTAAGGGCTTCTGTGTAGCATGCTGGTGAGTTGTGAGCTTTCCAAGAGTCACAGAGTCCAAAACGGAGTGCGCTACGAGGTTCTGCTGAATACAGGCCTCCAAGTGCGCAGATTTGTTAATTTAAAGTCAAAGCACATGTCTTCGCGCACGACCGCATTCCTCAGTCTATATATTTATGGAGGGCTCCGACGGTCGCAAAGGCGACAACGACGCCGACGTCCAGACTGCGGTGCTAACTACATATCGTCTCTTTATATGTATCGCATAAATGTTGAACATGCTACACAAAAAGTAAATTAAAAATGGCTAATTCGCTATGTTCATACACGTGGTGCTTCGTTTTGTATTGTAGTTATATAAATTTTTAAAAATTCCCTGCGCTCATATTTGCGTGCCGGTTGCCTTATTTGTCAGATAATGAGTACAAGCTGCAGCCGCATTCGCTCAGTCCGGAACCAATAATTTGCAATCTGTCGTCCAGCAGCTAGAGATGGGCCTTGAAAATTGGGGAGGGACTCCTTGACAATTATATTGTTAAGCTGCTTCACCTAAATTTACCAAAATAATATTGGAGACCGAATACAAGCTATGATAAATGATCACAACATGGAATTGCGCTCGCTTGCTCGCTTGGCGTACATATTCGATACTACACAACAAAACCATCCAGTCTATTTTGATAGGCAGGCGATGTTGTCATATCATCAATTTCAGCTGCAGCTCCAAGAATACAATAATCATAAAATTAGGTGCGATAATTGGGTATATCCCATGTAAAGAAGTAGAGTAAGTTAAACGCAAAGGTATTCACAGATCAACAGGGTTAAGGTAGTGGTAGGGTAAAGGTAGAGCAAAACATTTTACCCGGTAAACTTTTACCTTACCTTGCCAAGGCCCACACACGCAGATAAGTGCAATTGTAAGATATGCATTCAACCTAGTGCACACTCACTTATATCTTCACCCTTCGGGTTGCAATCAAATCCCTGATTATTAGTGAAAAATAAACTTAAGGTTAAATACTTTGTGACAGGCGCTCTTGTAAAAATACAATTTAACGAAAATGTTTGCAAAAAGCTGTCTCCCACATGACTGAAATAGTCCGAACAAAAGACCGCGACAAGATGTCAACAATCATGCCCGTACGATAGGCAGTACTTGAGCAATGTAGCTCCTCTAGAATTCGCATTTAAATGAAGCTGGAATTGTTTCATGTGTGATCGAAAAGATGATAAAGGATGGTAAGCAAGACAAAAATTGTTATGCACTTGCATATTAGAGTATACTTATTTACCTTTGACACCCCGCATGTTAATCTATGTACGCGTCCATCACTAGCTTTTTAACTGTTTAGTTGCGCTGATCAAATGATGTATCGATACCAAGACTAATCTTATGAACTATCAAATATTTTTGCAGCGCCCTCGTATGGATAAATGTACTCACTGCATAAAGTTTAGTAACAATTATGTCGGGTACATGTCAGCATAGTTGACTTAACTGCACTGTCAGGAAGCACAAACTTGAGGGAAAATGAGGATCCAACTATTTTGCTAGTAAGTATATTGAAAAATTGTTTCACCATATTTGATAGAAGGATACCGAAAACCGTATTTGTAAAAGCTTTTAAATAACGTTTGTTATCTTCAGAAACACATTAGTACTTACAATACTACCATTAGTAATGCATTTCTTAGAACTAAGCCTGGAACCTTGCTCTGCATGCTGAAAAGAAAGGAGACATTGACACAGGCAAAAACCTAATGCGCCAAATGCCATATCGTATGTCCATCTGCCTCCTCTTCTTTTCATCCACATTATACTTCGTCAGCGCTTCTTCTTGGCATCACAGGCGCACAAAGAACCCTTCTACTTTTTCGTGGTACACCAGTCCCGATAAGAAACAGACGAGAACTCAATGAACGTCATCGGATTTCCTCGTTCTGCTTTTGATGGCCTTCAGAGCTTCTTCTCACGTCCACACGTTTATGCTCAAGACGAAGACATCCTGGTAGACCTTCACGCCTAATTTAAACAATGTAGTCCTCGCCCTTCTCCTTTACTACTATACTATTCCATTTTTTTCTAGCTGTAAATTCTTGACCATTGACCATTCGTGCGTCATTCAACACGCCGAGATATCCAAAGACCATAGATGGTCGAATTGTAAGATGCGATGATATGCTGTTTATCTGGAGAAGATCAGAGTACGTGCATAGTTTTTTTATATTAGAGCACACGAGCCTCCTGTAGCACGAGTAGGGTTTTTTGCTCGGGAAGATTACTGTCTAGATTCGCCCACAAATGGAATCAAATGGTATATACAACGAGTAAATCAATTCGCCTCTTGTAATAGTTTGTTAAAAAGTGGACATCGCAGTAGTTGCAACTGGGCAAGAATGGTATCGTTTAAGATGGAAATGATAGCTACCGACTCTGTGTTTGTATTGACAAGACTTTGTGCCATGCGGCTTTAAGTCAACGTGCACTAGAATGATAGGGAGTGAAGCAGACAAGTGCCCAAAGAAAATATAACAGTTTTTACACCGTACATTAGGCTGCTCCCTAGCGCCAATTATGTGGAATCTACGTACCGTTGCGTTCAACGTGATTTGATATAAATTTTGGACTAGGTAAAGTTGCTCAAAATCGTGGAACGAAGGCGATAAAGTAGCTGATGATAAAAAGCCTTTGTAACCGCCACCTCACTTTCCACAAGCATACTATTTTAGCTTGCTCTTTCCTGTGCATTTTCATGCTAACTGGACCTTTCGAGCCCAGTAAAAAGGACTCTTTCCACTGTTCATCTATTACGAATAAATTAGTCAAGATTTAATTAAAAAATCCTTTTAAAGTACTTAAATTGCTAAATGTAAAAGTTCAAACTTTGTAATAAAATTGTTGGGGGCCCTAGGATTTACGGTGACGAATACTTAAACCTAGTCCCGTTTTTTGGTTGTTTTACATTCATTTAACATAAATTTAATTTTAAAAAAAATGACTCTTTAAGATTTAGAGCTTTGAAAATAAAAAATATTTGAAAACGTACAGGATTTGTCCGCAGCCGGTACTAACAGAGATCTCTTTTTATTACATATAGTTAATTTAAAGATACATCACTAAATTTATTATTGATTATACAATTCTGATATACACACTTTTTAATACAAATTTATGGTTTTGCTCCTCTCAAATTCGCAATCAAAACAGAACACCTAGCGTCACTTTTTATAAAAAACATATTCAAGAGTAATCGTTTTCATGCTGAAGAAAATAATAAAAAAAAATTCCACAATTTTACACATGTAAAGTCAGCTATCGTATCTTCGGGCTCGCAATAAAGAGAGAGATGAGTGGTTGGCTGAACCTGGTGAATAGAGACGGCTCCATTTAAAAACGATTATAGGTGAATTGTTTTAAATAGGAAAGAAAAAAGAAATAGACGATTAAAATAGAAAGGCTGTGTAAAATGCGCCTTGATGGCACCTAAGTAGATTTGCAAAAAGTCCTGTTTCTTTGAACAATGAATTTGCAATGGATTTTTTCTACACAATCGATAGTAGAAAGCATCCGAGTGTAAGACCCGCGCATCAAAGGCCACTTTTTTCCGTAGAGGAATTTGGCATCGGTAGTCGCACGAGGAGCAAGGCTTCGATTTGTTGCAACCACTTCTTCGTCATGACAATGAACATACCATAACGCGGCTTTTATTCAGGAGAGTCATACACACTAGCGTGTGTCCTTCTTCATTGCAGCATCAAGTTTCGCAAGCTGTTGAATACCTTCTATAGCGAAACGCCTGAGGTGCGTCCCAAGTTCAAAAAAGCTCAGGTCTTCAAATTTCTGTGTGTAAAACAACTCGTTGTTATGAAGGTGGCGCTTGCCATAACACCGTTGCCACTCGGGAAATTCTGGAGGTGCTCTGTATGACTCAATTCTGTAATCATTCCGACGCGACGAGTTTCGAAAAGACCACGGATGCGTCCCAATGACTGGATCCGGTAGGTTGTCGGGTTCTAGAGGACCAAACACGTGATTCACGTTGTTACGTTGTGGTCGTTCAGTCAGTTCGTTGGTGTTGCGATGAATGAACAGCACGTTCCCATTAAAATCGTGCTGAACCATAGTCATACCACAAAACGACTCATTCACAAGCTTGCCAGCGACTGCAGGTAAAGTTTGAACCATAAAAAACGGAGCGTTCAACTCGATCCAAGCGAATCGAAAGAGGTCTTTGTCCCCCCACAGAAGATCGAGATGCTTAAATAGGTCAGGAGTATGAGAAGCGTAGAAGTGTACGAGCTCCATGGCGGCAGCATGGCGTCTTCGATCAATCAACAGCTGGCCACTTTCCTGCTCGAACATGTCAACGTACTGCATGTCCAGCATTTGCCACAACAATGAGTCTTCAACGAGGTGAAAGATAGTGTGATGCGGGTGCCAATAGTCCGGCCAAAACACAGCTCCAGTTCCCACAAACTCTTCAGACTCGAATAAGAACGCCGGGTCACGCACTGGAACGTTGTCCGCATCCAGGAACAGCACTTGGTCGAAAGCACTATTGTAGATCGCATGCACCTTTGCTGCGAAACGAACCGCACGCAAATCATCAATCGCTCGAAATGTGACCCCATCCATTGCATCCACCTTTGCAGCCTCTTTTAATAGCTTGAGCCCAGCAGGCACATTCTGCATCTCAACCGGTCGGAACCAGATTTCGATCGGTAATTGACAACGCAACACCTCTCTCAGTGTGCGAATCGAAGCATATGCGCCTGCTAGGAGTTTCGGGTACACAACCATGACAATACCTGCCCGTACTGCCTCGGTTTGATTGCTGTTCAGCAGGCTAAAACCAGGTGCACTGACTTTTTCCACCACTTGGCCAATCTTTGCGGGGAAATTCGCGAAATCCGGTGCAAGAGAGCAAAACAACTTGGCCCTTTTCCGGACTGTGCCACACCCACGCTGCATGACACGGAACCTCTCACCGTTCTGGACGTCCTCATCTCACAGTAGCCGGACGCAGCGTTGACATGCCTACTGATATATCAGTAGGGACATAACTACTGATCTATAGGCATGCTGAAAAGATGCTAGTCCCGATGATGCAAGGGAAACATGATGACGCAAGTCTATATGGCGGCTGTGGACTATACGACGCAAGGCAAGTCTATACGGCGGCGGTAGACTATGCATAATGACGGAAGGGAAGTCTTCACGGCAGCTGTAGTGTAACGGGGTGAATCGTTACATAACAATTTATAAGAAATTTTTAATTGAATATAACTATAAGAGTTAAATCCTCAGAATATTGTCATAAGGACAAATGTTCTGCAGCACTTTCGAGTAGTTCCTAATTGGTTGATATAGGTCATTATATCAACCAACGAAGACGCGCCACGACAGACGCACGCAATGAGTGGTGAGCAGATAGTTGACATACACAAATGTATTCAGACATAGTTAGATGAAGATAAATAGTGATTTATTGCAGACATTAACTATGATAAATACAGTTCTACTTTTTACTTAAACTAAGTACTCGCTTCTCCTTACCGTCTTCCTCTGCACGTACCAGTGTACGTGAAGTTTCGAGGCACCGCCTTATTCTGTCATCAGAATAAGTAGCTTGTACTGTCATCAGTACAAGCTTCAGGGTGCCCCGTTACACCTGGTAGCACTTCGTAGTCCGTCCAAGGACCACGTTCACATCTAACATGAATATGTTGGATGATGAAGATGACCAAAGCTTTCACGCTACGCGTGACGGCTACTCCCATTTAAGCGATGTCGAATGGGATGCGGTTGAACGAATGAGTTCGACCATGGGCATCCATGCTGTTAGCGTCATGCTAGAAGCTCTCAATAGAGATGCCCAACATGCTACTATCGCCAAGTTCATTCAAAATGAACTTGACGCTGAACGCGAGAAAGTAGCCTTGCTTCACCAACAAGGTTCTCAACAAGCAGAGTTGTTGAGAGAACAGGGTGCTCAACAGTTTGAACTGTTGAGACAGCAGCAGGCTGCTGCTGGCGGGTCGATGCACTCGCGTCGACCCGAGACTTTGAAGATTGACATCTCCAAGTATAGGGGGGTCGAAGAAGACTCCCTCTTGAGATGGTTCGTCGAATTGGATGACGCCATAAGGGCGCGTCGCATCGATGATAGGGAAATGCAAGTTGCATTTGCCCAGTCAAATCTGGCAGGACGTGCCAAGACTTGGGCACTGGGGCTCAAGTTGCACGACCCATATGCGTTTGGGTCGTTGGAAGTCTTCAAGTCGCGGCTCAGACAAACGTTTGAACCGCCTAGAGCTGAGTTTAGAGCTCGAACTGAACTCTTGAAGCTCAAACAGGGTAAGCGTGATGTGCACGCTTACGCCCAACATATACGAAATCTTACGAGTTGTATAAGTTCCAATCCGGTGGATGAACACACGTTGGTTTCGGTGTTCATGCAGGGTCTTGCGGATGGTCCCGTCAAGAATCACCTGTTCCGGCTTGAACTAGATTCACTAGAACAAGCCATTTACATTGCGGAACAGGAATACTTCAGTCTGAGACAGGCTCGCGCCAGCTCGACATCATATCGTCAACCGAGACGATATGACAACGGAGGTCCAGAGGCGATGGAACTCTGTTATGTAGAGAGCGAGAAGGCTCGCTCTACAGACTACAAGAAGTTGCAGAAATGCAACAGATGTTATAAGACAGGACACTACGCTTACGAGTGTAGTCCCCTCTTCCAGAGTCTTGCAACACTGGGCGTAGTTACCGTCCACCCATGAGAAAGGGGCAGGGACGAGGGTCCGCAGTTGGTGCAAAGACGCAACAACGGGATGGACCGTAAAAAAACGGACAGGATAAGTAGGTGCGGAGCACCCTACTGGTCCAGCAACGTCAAGAGAATTTGTAGGCCTCTTGATGAAGGTTGCTCCCAACACACAAACGTTGTGCGTTGCTGATCTAGGTAATGAGATCTCACTCATTACCTTGAAACTCGAAGTGACGAATAAGTTGTCCCTTCGAGCTCTAGTCGATTATGGGGCGTCCAACAATTTTGTGCGACGCCAATCGCTAGAAGATGGTCACTTCAATTACAGTGAATGTGACACACCTCCTACGAGGATGACGGTACGTCTTGCGACAAGCGCATCCGTAACCGTCATGAAGCGTATAGTGAAGATCCACTATACGCTAGAAGATACCCAATGTGACGATGACTTTATCGTATTGGATTTGGATGACAAATTTGATGTCATCCTTGGTCTGCCGTGGCTCAAAAGGTACGAACCACGAGTAAACTGGCAACATCGAACAGTGACGATGCCTGCCGCTTGTTCATCAGATGGCCATCTGATGAACGTTTTGGAGCGTCCACAAGCGTTTGGATGTACTACGAGTGAGTGCGATGGCCTCACTTGTGCTACGGTCGTTAGTACGACTGCACGAAACCTTAGTGTAACAAACGGTTACACTTCAGAGCAAAGTTCCGGCGGCTGTGAGGAAACACAGGCTGCGCCGAAGGTCCACCACTCGAATAAGTCGGGTGGACTGGGACAAAGATGTATCCCTAGCGGGGAACATCTAGAAGAGAAACAATCGATCGCTCAGGTTAAGCGAAACGATAATCCTAGATCGACTGGAGAGTCTTTCGTAGAGGATCTCGCTGTGGTTGCGCAACCCCAGCTAGAGGAAGTAAAGGGAATAAGTCCCAAGATTACAATTACGGCGGAAATAAGTTCCCCGAAACTCGCGGGAATAAGTCCCCGGGAAGCCGAAGGAATAAGTACTTCGAGGCCTGAGGGCATAAGTCCCCAGAAAATGACAGAGACATTGAATGTCATAGTCAACAACGGATCAAGCGTAGGCGCTTATACACTTGATCTGATTGCGCATCCGAAGTTGACTTCGGAGATCACTCAGTTGCCAACGCTCGAACATAAAAGGTTCTTGCGTGATCTGCATAGTGGCAAATTCAAGCAGATCTGCGTACTCGTCGCTGATGACGAGTGTGTAGCCGACATAAGGTCAGCAACAGTGTTTACTGAGAACGAGAGAGTTCTCAGTAGTTCATCGATGGACGAGGGTGTCCTCGATGAAAAGACACGAGTTGAGCGATATGACTCCCAATCGTGGGAATCGCTCAAGACAAATCCTCTCTATGAAGATTTGGTTGAATTCAAGGATGTATTCCCTGAAACTGTTCTGTGCGATTTACCGAAGGATAAAGGTATTCGACACGAGGTCGAGCTTAAACCAGGCTCGAAGTACTGTGTCATGAAGCAGTGGCCACTGCCTCGTGAACAAGTACTTGCGATCGACAAGTTCTTTGCCTATCGTTTAGCTGCAGGCCATGTGAGGGAATCAACTTCCCTACATAGCTCTCCGACCTTCTGTGTGCGAAAAGCAACAGGAGGGTGGCGGATTGTGCATGCATTTTACAAGTTGAATGCTGCAACGGTACCGGCTCAGACGCCGATACCAAGGAAGGACGTAATCATTGATGGTATGTCAAAGAGTACCATCTTTTCGTCCATGGATTTGATGGGTGGCTTCTATCAAATCCTTATGCGAGAACGGTATATACCATATACCGCAGTGAGCACGCCTAGCGGCATGCTCTGGGAATGGCTAGTAATGCCACAAGGGCTTAGTAATGACCCTGCCACGTTCAACAGATGTGCATCACATCTGTTGAGACCAGTACGGGAATTTGCGCCGAGTTATTTCGATGACGTATTCACCCATAGTCGAGCTATGGATGGAAAGTCGGACGTTGAGGTTCACAGGTACCACGTCCGACAGGTTCTTACAATCATGCGAAAGCATCAATTGTATGCAAACCTCAAGAAGTGTATATTTGCAGCAAGCGAAATACCACTTCTTGGGTGCATCGTTGGTAAGAACGGTGTACGTATTGATCCTGAAAAGATCAAGGCGATCACCGACTGGCCTGTGCCGGTTGATGTCAAAGGTCTTCGAAAATTCCTTGGGCTAGCGGCGTATTTGCATAAGTATTCACGCAATTACGCCGAGATGACTGTACACCTCTCTCGTTTGTTGAAAAAGAACGAGAGGTGATTATGGAACGCTGAATGTCAACGCTCCTTTGATGGTATCAAGCAGAGCTTGATACTATCCCCAGTCCTAGCAATAGCCGATCAGGACAGGCCATTTCATGTGGTCTGTGATGCCAGCGATTTCGCAATCGGCTGTGCATTAATGCAGTACGACCTAGAAGGCGTTGAACGCGTCGTCTGCTATCAGTCGCGTCAGCTGCAACCAGCTGAGCGGAACTATCCAGTGCATGACAAGGAACTCCTTGCCACGAAGTATGCACTCGCGAAGTTCAGAGTCTATCTATTAGGAGATAGACCCTTCGTTGTTTACACTGACCATGCGTCATTACGCACGGCAGTGAACAGCCCGCACCTTTCACAACGAATGGCGCGGTGGTTGTCATTCTTTGCGGAATACAACTTTACGGTAGAGTACAAACCAGGACGACTTAATGTCGTCGCTGATGCACTCTCACGTCGTCCCGACTTTGCAACAGTCGCGAAACCCAACAGTGGGACAGCCGCCGTAGCGGTTATGACGTCCTCAGTACCATCTTCAACGCTGCATGATGATGTGAGGCGGGCGTATGCGTAAGATGGTGAGATAGTGAAGTTGTTGACACATCTCTCACAGCCATCTCGAGAATCGTTGAAACGATTGTCGTCTGCGTATCGATCTGCATCAGATCGATACACTACTCGCAACGGTTTACTGTATTATACAGCCGTTACTGGTGACACACCACGTGTCGTCATTCCAGATGATACTGATCTGCGTTTGCGGGTCATGTTCGAGTGTCACGATGCTCCTATAGGAGGACATCGTGGCCGGGAGAAAACTTATCTCACGGTGAGTCGAGACTTTTACTGGCCCCGCCAGTATCAGTTTGTGCGAAAGTGTGTTCGCGCATGCGAAGTCTGTCAACGAGTGAAGTCAAGTCCTTCACTGCGTGCACCTTTACAGCCTCTACCAGTTCCGGCAAAGTGCTGGGAATCCATCTCAATGGATTTCGTTTTCGGGTTACCCAAAGACGCACGCGGGAATACGGGTATTCTCGTATTTGTTGACAGATTCAGCAAAATGGTACACCTTGTGGCTGTACCAGAGTCAATCACGGCAAGTGGCTGTGCTTGTGTCTATATCAACACCATCTTCCGACTTCATGGGGTTACCCCGTGAACTCGTATCAGACAGAGATCCACGATTCACTGCTGATTTCTGGCGTTCCGGGTTCAAATCACTCGGAACGCGCTTGAAGATGTCGACTTCTGATCATCCAGAGTCGGATGGTCAGACGGAACGTGCCAACCGTGTCCTCGAAGAGATACTACGAGGATACGTACACTCCTTTAAGAGTTGGAGTGAGTTTTTGCCAATGGTAGAGTTTGCCATTAACAACTCGGTGCATGCGTCCACGACACATACATCGTTTTACGTGAATGGCTTGCGCCATCCGCGTGTACCCACCTTACTAGAGTGTAACTCTGGTTTAAGGGGGGGGGACTCGCGCGAGCAAAAACGATTTGGTTCACGCTCATCACGCTCTGACGAAGAGGTCATTGCGTTTAATGCCGATATCAATAACATCGATATCGAAGAAGATGATGCCAGTGAGAGCGCGGAAGCCCTCACTGAAGAAAAGATTGATGTCGCTGCAGTGCACTCACAGCACACTGAAGCTAAAGAGTCATCAGATGGGTTCATACTGGCTCGTGAAACGGTAGTCCGTTTTGTGCAAGACTTCATCGCCGAAGCGGTGGATAAGCAAAAGCAAAACGCTGACAAGAATGGAAGGGAAAACACTCTTTTATTTAATAAAGGTGACTTAGTCCTACTGTCTACGATTAACCTACCAAAGCATGTAGTGACTAACTTGGGTGGCAGTAAACTACTACCCAAGTACATCGGCCCATTTCGTGTATTGCACCGCCTAGGCAATGCATACACGATCGAGTTGCCACGTAAGATGCGAACGCATCCCACGTTTTACGTTGGTCTGCTTAAGCCGTACCATCAGTACGCTGTTTCTTCCGATGAAGAACACCCTTGCGCGTAAGCATCTCGCAGAGAGCCTTGTGCTCCCGATGGTGGATATCAACAAGGGTCTGAAGAGCAGTTATCTCAGCCCGAGACCGATCAACAATCCCACGAGCTACCCTTAGCTCGTCACGAAGATACCTCAGAGCTCTCTCGTTCCCAAGCTGAGCATAGGCAAACTCAGCTCGATGCTTCGAGACAGTGTCCGCCAGTTGGAGACGCCTGTCCCGCTCATGTTCGAGATCGCGAACACACGCTTCCCCACGATTGTGTGGAGAGCGTCTTCCCTCCTCCTCCACCTCCATTCGAGGACTCTCGCGCTGGCCAGCGCTTTCTTGTTGAGCAGCTGTTGAACCACCGCGACGTGAACGGACGTCGGACGGGTTATCTCGTCCGGTGGCGCGGCTACCCCGTCCTGGGATTCTTGGGAGCCCCGCTCCCAACTGATGGCTGACGTACTGGGTCTGGTTGAGCAGTACGACGCGGCACATCCTGTGCTGCAGAAGGACCACCGGATAAAGTCTTCCCGGCACGGTCATAAATGGATTTCAGGTTGTCAATCCCTTCATACATCTCACTAGACATACGTGCGCGCCACCACGGGCTAGTAGGGAGGTAAGCCTCCTTAGGTGCGCGCGCAGAGTTGTTCACACAACATGGGCACGAGTCTCCCCAAGAGAGGCAGGGTAATCCTTTCTCCCTTGACAGACGATGCAGCTTATAGCGTGCACCTGTCGGGGTTCGCTTTTCAAACTTGTCACGAGCTTTGATAAGTTTGTCGTTCCAAGCGTCACGACCTACATCCTCAAGGTTATGGATGTAGGCGTTCCACGCTTGAAGTAGTGAGAGACCATCACGCTTGTGGTTCCCACTGTACCATCGATTTCCGAAGAAAGCATCGATGAAGAATTCATGTTCAGCGCGATAGTTTTTCGCGCTGGGGTCAAGGTGATGGTTTCTTGAAGAATTGAATAATCGTGTTCGATAACGATCACTCGTCGTCGCCGACAAATGATCCATGACAGATTTAGGAGGCATCCATGCCTTCTTTTCTGGAGCGAGACGCAACACATTGCGGTCCCGCTCTTCCTGCGACGTGCCGACAAAAGGACTGGCACCTCGCTGTGAAGTGGTGTCCATAGGAGAACCGACACCACTATTAGCGCCCGAGTCTCGCGACCTCGAGCGCCTTCGCTTCGGCGATGGTTCATCTGATTCATCAGATGAACCAAAGATGCTGCGACGCAAAGCATCGTCCATGCCACGCTTGGCAGGCGGTTTGGATTCAATCGCCGTCGATACGGATCCATCATCCGTATCAGGAGAGTACGAGACACCGAGCTCGTAATCTGTGAAGACACGAGTGTCTTCATGACCAGCGCCTGCGTCACCAAGTGACACAGGCTGGGTCGCTTCAGCAACCGATGAGACATCAGTTGCTGCGGTTTCTGCTTCGGCGTCCGCACAGAGACGTGCAGACGCGCACTCGGCGGCCTTGCTCGCGCATCGCATGGGCTTGTTAACCATGCGATGAGATGTTGGAAAGTGGACGCGGACCAGCAAGTGCAAACCCTGTCCCAAATGGTTTGGGACGAGTATCCATTTAGTGAATCAGTCACTAAAGTGACTGATGGATAACAGGAAGGTGATGTAACGGGGTGAATCGTTACATAACAATTTATAAGAAATTTTTAATTGAATATAACTATAAGAGTTAAATCCTCAGAATATTGTCATAAGGACAAATGTTCTGCAGCACTTTCGAGTAGTTCCTAATTGGTTGATATAGGCCATTTTATCAACCAACGAAGACGCGCCACGACAGACGCACGCAATGAGTGGTGAGCAGATAGTTGACATACACAATTGTATTCAGACATAGTTAGATGAGGATAAATAGTGATTTATTAACAGACATTAATTATGATAAATACAGTTCTACTTTTTACTTTAATCAAGTACGCGCTTCTTCTTACCGTCTTCCTCTGCACGTACCAGTGTACGTGAAGTTCCGAGGCACCGCCTTATTCTGTCATCAGAATAAGTAGCTTGTACTGTCACCAGTACAAGCTTCAGGGTGCCCCGTTACATTTAGACTATGGAAAGGAATGGCGTCGCAAGCTAAGTTGCATTAACATATTTCTTTTCTATTCTCTAAGTCGAGCACACGTTTACAGCGGTCCCCTGCAAGCCACGGACCATTCTTCTACAAAGACCCCTCTGCGAGCCAAGGGTTTTCAGTGTGATCGACCCGTTCGTCGCACACTTTGTCATTCGCCACATCGCGAGCTCCGTATGCACTGCAGCCGTGCGTGGCTTTCCATCCGATGCACTTGAATCGGCGTGTCTCCAATACTTCAATTGTTAGGTTTTTACGGTTAAGGCAGGGGCCTCTGTCTTCAATACATTATGTATTGTTGTTGACGGTCACTGTAGGGGCATCTGTCTCCAAAACTTTATGTGAAAGGTTCTGGACTGACGCCGCACGAATTTCTGCCTGAAATTTATACGGGCGTGTAAAGAAGTACTGTTGACTAGACATCATCCATGTTACTATCAATATCGCGTAGACTTAAGTAGCCAATAGTTCCAGCCGCAGGACAGTTGGCCTGGTGGACGACAACATGACAAGCGATTCCAGCAATGCGTTGAAGCTGTGGTGGTGAGCACTTAAGAGTAAAAATGAACGGCTTTTCGTCAGAGATGTATTGGGGATGAACCATATAAAAGGATGTTAGTAATAACGTACCAAATCGTATCGGTTACAGATCAGGGATGATGAGTACAACATACGTCATACTTCGATTACTATTGAATTTACGGAGTTACAGGGCGGTTATTGAACCGATTATGTTTTGTGTCCTAACCAAGTAGTATTTGGTGGAATTAATTGGTACAGTGTTGGTATCATGTACTTACGGCAAGACCGCACCTTATCGAGTAGATATTAGGGACAAGACTTTTGTCATAGGATCGCAATGTAGAGGTCGGTTCGACAAGGTATTAGGGTTTAATTACTGCATCTAAAGAATAAATAAAGTCTGTTCCCTTTTTGGATCGTTGAACAACAGTGCCAAGTCAAGGCGTAGTGTGTTGTAAGAGCATTAGCATTGTCAAGGCCATTACTCTCATTTAACTAGCAGTGACTAGTCAGTGTGTGATTCTGTGAATCGTGATCACTTTACCACCGTTATGGTTAAGCTTTTACGCTTGAACGACTGTGCGTTGTTGCTAATTTGTTATAACTAAGGACTCTTCAAATCTAAGACTCCATGTGTTAAAGAGCGATAAGTAGCTCCGCTACACTTGGTAGCACTTGTAGTCAATCCTACACCTGAGTCGCTTTGACTATTTCTCTGTGAGAAATAGATGGTCTTGACTACCTCACTGAGGCTCAACATATCGCGCTTGATTAGCTTAGATCGTTAATAGGGGTAGAGCAGGTCGACTAAATTGCGTCTCAAGGCCCAGAAGCGCTTACGGCACGTCTCGACGCATTTATGCAGTTTGAGGCTACGCTGATAGGGCATGTCCACGACCACTTAGCTTCAGTTGTACCTACACGGTACTTTGCAGTACCTGACAGTTAGTCAAAGACTCGTCCGCTCACTCTTAGCGTTAATACTTTCGAGGAGAAAAAAGGTAAGGTCTCCTCCTCTGGATCCGAGAAATCGATATGGCTTTTGAAGCCGCCTTGCTTTAATCGGAGCGACAGAAAGATGGCCTAGCCATTTCTAAGCTCGGTGGTAGAGCCAAAGAATGAGCACTTACCTGTGATGCGTCGATTAGCACTTCATTTCCCACGTGGGATTCGCTTAAACGAGAGATGTCTCGGGTGTTTGCGCCACCGAATCAATCGTATCGTGTTCGCTCTCGATTCCTAGCCGCCAGGCAGGGAAAGATAGAATCATCGGACTTTGTCCAAGCGTTGCGAACACTCATAGCTATTATGCAGCTGGAGCCTCTTCCATAGCAAGTCCGTGTCACCAATTTTATGGAGGGCCTTCGTACGGGGATCGCGAGGACGGAAGTTTTACGCGTTCACCTCTCAACGTTTGAAGGGTAGACATAGCGTTGAGTGATGACTTCAACTTCAAAGCCGCTGGCTATAATACTCATGGGCATGCCCAAAGATCAATTGACGGGCCTGAGCCCATGGACCTCAGCCATGGTTTAGAAGAAGATTAAGATTTTCTGGCTGTTGAACAGCAACGTAACATCCGTAGATGTTACATGTGCGGGAGCACCAGGCACTTGCGCCCTCAGTGCCCACTGCGGAAGCCGTGTCAAAGTCGGCCGAGCCTGAATACGCCTTCTTACCCGAATGTGGGTACGGAGCGGGAAAACGGACACTCCCAGTAGGAGCGGGGCGCCCTACTAGGGAGAAATAGGTTCTGCCGAAGGCTTAGGTTATAAAGATAGACAGGGCTAAGCCCTAGACGATCTTGTGGAAGTTTTCACGAGACGTGAGCATAAGCCAGGCTTGTTAATGGCCTCGGTTACAATTAAGGGATTTCAAGAGCTATGGTCAATATTAATAGACTCTGGAGCGTCAGGCAACTGTGCTCGACGCCGAAACCTAAAGGGATGTCAGTAATATGCTGAGGCTCTAAAAGCGCATGAGGGAGATGTTAATACTGTTCGCTTAGCGACAGGTACTCATGTCACCGTACCTAAGATTCCATTGATCTAAGGCGTAAAGGTTTTAGACTTCGATCGTATCGAACGTTTTCTTGTACTGAATTTGGACTCGAGATATGATCTCATTCTTGTTGTGGCCTTGTCTTGAACGCCATGAGCCATGGGTTGATTGGAGGTCGAAGACCTGAGGCGCAACGCGCAATGTTCCTAGCGCTGCTTTGGAGAGTTATAATATCACCTTTGCTAGGCTACAAAAGCGCTATTGGCGCGCGCCACTGACAGAGTCTGTCAGTGTGCTTGACATTGGACTGTCTGAGCTAGTTACCCTAATTTCATTGACAATAGTGAAACGGCACGTATTCCGTTAAGTGAAACTAGTAATGACAGTGAATTACTGAACGTCGGAAGCATTGATGGTTCAAAGCCGAGTCATCCTGAATGTGATCCCTGTGATGCGCGTGGAGTGGCACGTAAACATCCACAAGTGAGGTCGGCCGTGATGGCACCCCAGTAAATGTCGGTAATGACACTGGATCTCAGAAAGAGCAGGTTGAGGTTGAAGATCTTTACCTCGTAAAACCGGATGTTCCTAACACTTTAAAATGTTCCGTTTCTGTACAGAGACGACAGCGACGCCAGCTGGCGGCTGTGAAAAGAAAGTCTTTTGCCATGACCCAGAAGGACACTTGAGAACAGTTGTACACGTATTCAATGGGGTGTCGGGTGCGTTTGATGGAGAAGTTGGCCTCGAGGCCCTCTCATCGACTAACGCTCTGCTGGAGCTAGACGAAAGGTCTGTAGACGAATTTTATCAAGCCTTAAAGACTGGTGCTTTGTTCGACATGGTGGTCCTAAGACATGTCCTTGAGTTGAACTCGTCATCCCTTGTAGATGAGACGTTCCTTGATGACAATAAAGTTGCACTTAATGCTCGCAGTGGATCTGCCATTTTAAAGGATCCTTCGGATCCCTTTCATCCTTTCGTAAAAGAATTTTAGGACGTGGTGCTTCATGATCCACCATCCACTCTGCCTCCCGACAGAGGTGTGCGTCATAAAATTGACCTGGTCCCTGGGACCAAATACTGTGTCACACGGCAATAGCCTTTGCTTAAGGAACAGTGTGAAGTCATTGATAAGTTCTTTCGTGCAAGGCACGCGGCAGGCACGGTGCGGGACAGCAAATCTCCACACTCGACACCGACAATTTGTGTCAGAAAGCCCAATGGTAAGTGGCGTATTTTGCACGCTTACAATAAGCTCAATGCGGCCACTACACCGGCGCAGACACCTATTTCTAGAAAGGGTGTTCTTAAGAACGCCATGTTCGGTTGCACCATGTTTAGCGCACTCGACTTAGTCGATGGTTATTACCAACTGCTTATGCGAGTGAATGATATCCTGTTCACAGCGGTTAGCACGCCGAGTGGCAAGCTTTGGGAGTGGCTTATTATACCTCAGAGACATTCTAATGCCCCCCAACCCTTAATCGTCTTGTGAAGCAGTTGTTCCGACCTCACCGAGGATAGGCACAAAGCTATTTTGATGACACTTTTGTTCATAGCCGTGCAGAACGAGGAAGATCATACGTAGAAAATCACATAGATCATTTACAAGCAGTGCTCAGGTGCACGCGCAACAATAAGTTGTATGTTAATGCATCTTAATGCATTTGTGGTGATGAAGAAATCCCATTTCTAGGGTGCTTCATTGGAAAGCGCGGCCTACGGGCAGATCCCGCTTAGGTAAAATCCATTGTGGATTGGCCAGTTCCGTTTGACCCGAAAGACCTACGTAAATGGCTTGGTTTAGCCAAATACTTACACAAGTATAGTGCAAACTGTGCTGACATGGCAATGCCATTATACAATTTTCTTGAAAAGGTTTCGGATTGGCGTTGGGACTCGGTCCAGGCACAAGCGTTTCAAGCTGTTACGAAGATTATTCTTCAAGCTCCAATTTTGGCTTTGTCTGGACCGGATAGACCTTTTAGTGTCGTCTGTGACGCATCTGATATTGCCATTGGCAGTGCATTGTTGCACACTGATGTCGATGGACATTCATGCGTCATTGCGTATGAGTCTCGCCAGCTAAAAGCTTCCTAAAAGGAATTCCCAGTGCATGACAAGGGATTACTTGCAATGAAGTATGCTCTTGTCAAGTTTAAAATACATCTACTTGGCTATAAGCCGTTTGTAATCTACACGGATCGTGCGTCGTTGCGCACTGCGACCATTCGCCTCATCTCTTGCAACGTATGGCCCGTTGGCTTTTATTCTTTGCTGAGTATAACTTGAGGTGAAGTATAAACCAGGATTGCAAAATGCTTTAGCAGGTGCGTTATCACGCAGTCCGGATAATGAGCTTGCTCATGTTACTACTCTGTCGTCTTCTATCCCTGATTTTATCTGTGTGGCTTATTCCAAGAACGATCAGTGTGTCGCGTTGTTACGCGCACTCCGTTGTGATGAGTTCAAAGACTCGGACGTTAAGTTGTCGGCACGCTCGCGTGCAGGGCTACATCGATATTCTTTCGATCATGGCCTCTTGTGCTATAGCACCGATGCGGTGGATACTCCGCGCATCGTAGTACCTCATGATAAGAAATTGAAGTATTGTATCCTCTTTTGAGGCGCGTGTTACAGCTTTAAACGGTCATCTCGGCAGCGAATATACCTATGGCTCGGTTAGCCAACACTATTGGCGGCTAAAATGTTTTAATTGGGTTAGAACATATGTGCGCACGTGTTAAACGTGTGAAACCTGTCAACGGGTCAACCTCTTCGCTCATGCGGCTGCGCCTTGGGCGAGTTTGCCTATACCCACGGGTTGTTAATGATTCATTAGTATGGACTTTGCGTTTGGTCTGCCAACAGATTTAGACGGCAACACTGGTATTGTGGTCTTTGTTGACCATTTAAGTAAGATGACTCATTTAGCGGCTGTGCCAAATCCGATTGATGGTGAACGTACAGCACAGCTGTTTATCGATCGCGTGTTTTGTCAACACGGTTTGCCTTTGGCAATTGATTCAGATCGTGATCCTCGCTTTGCGGGGTGTTTTTGGAAGTCCATCTTCAAGGTGCTCGGCACCAGATCGAACATGTCCAGCGCGGATCATCTGCAGACCAATGGTCAAAATGTACGAGTATTTTGTGTCATTGGTGATATTTTGCGCATCGTTTGCGCAGATACGCCTAGGCGTTGGATCTCTATGCTTCCGGTGGTCGAATTTGCCATGAACAACTCGGTCCATGCCTCGACTGGCTACAGCCCGTTCTATGTTAACGGCCTCACCCATCCGCGCGTCCCATTGACGCTACTACTCTGTAAATCAGGGCTTGGTGGTATATGGAGGGCCAATTAGTTTGCTAATGTCAGCCCTGACATTGTTCAGAAACAGGTTGGTGAGTTCCTTGCAACAAGGTCGAATGTCTTGCGACATGTGCGAGACGCAAAGGCTGATAGCCAAAATAAACAAAAGTAACAAGCAGATGCAAAAGGCAGAAATTGTATTGAAAGTTTTGAGGTCGGAAACCAAGTCTTGCTAAACGCTATAAATCTACCTACAAGTGTAGTGTCAGCTGTTTCTAAATGAAGTTTCGTCCGCTCTACTTGGACCTTTTACGGTCGTGTCCAAGAAGGATCTTGCGTATACGCTCAACTTGCCGCGCAAATTGTGTACTCACCCCGTCTTTTACGTCGGCGTGCTTAAGCCATACCGGGACCCGTCCCACGTTGACTTAAAGGCGCTTTCGCTGCGTACATTGGCGGTGCTACAGGATTATGCATCCGAAGTAAGAGGTCGAATTGAGCCTCGACGCGAGTCTGACGTGACTCCATCATCTGAAGACGGGCGCGATCGCCTTCCAACGTCGCCAAAAAGAGATCGGGCTTCGCCCAGGGCGTTCTGAGTCTGACTTAAAGTCTCACGGAGATCCTCCACTTTCTTTACCAACTCAGCATGGCCTTCAGCCGATACTCCGACCACCACCGGCGTTAATTGATAAGCAAGGGACCTCATAGTTCTATATGGAGCGAGTACTTCAACGGCGTCTTCGTCATGGTCACTACCAATATCTGGTGAAGTGGTGTGGGTACCCTGAGTCTGAAAACTCATGGGAGTATGAGATTACTCTTCGGCAAGATTTCCTATACGCCGTTGACGTTTTTGAGCGCCACGGTCGAGCTCGTCTTGACGAGCTTCACACTTTTAAGTCGTCGTAAAGAGAGCGGGCGAGTTCGTAAAAAAAGAATGACGTGAACTCGCGGCTGCAGAGGCAGCCGAAGCATATCGGGAGCGTGATACTCCCCGCAGACGATATCTGGCTTTTAACTTAGCAAAGTCATAGCGAAGCTTTCGCTCCAGACGAAAGTCTGCCACACTGGCACTTTCGCGTAGCGCGTGCATGCTACTGAGGCGTCGAACGCCATGCACTCATCGAAAAACAAATTTGTCTCCGCAATTTTTGTCCCCATCTTTATTCATAATGATGGGTTAACCCCTAATTCGTGGAACCGTTGTTCCTTAAGCCTGCTTTTGCAGCCGTTATCCGTATTGACTCAAAGTCATCACAATAGGTTCCAAGTACCTCTATCGAAGAGCCTTGCGGCATTCTAATTCAGTGGGCGTTTTTGCCTCAGGGACGGTGGCACATGTTGCCAAAGTATGGCGAGACGCTTGACAACTAGTTCTTCCACGCTAGGTGGAGTGAACGTAAATTCACTGTGTCGTTGCAACTTTGTCGGAACTTCTGACTTGCGCCGTGCGTTTGCCGCTTGATCGCGCATGAGTTGTTGCTCCTCATCAAGCAAGTTAGTGATAATGGGTGTAGACATGGATGACATTGCTCCCAGCGCTGTTAGCGCAGTCGCGGCAATGAGTTCTGGGAACGGATTGGGTGCCGGATGGGGAATGTCCCCAAGCACAGGTGTGCTAGGTTTGGATTGCTCCTCCATCTCGACTTTGGCCACACTACCACTGTCACAGTCCACATCCTCGACACCAAGGAATTCCGCTAAAGTCTTATCTTCCAGGAGGTGTCCAGATCGGTCCATGTGAGTGAGTTACTTTGTAACAAGTCTCAATGGGGGAATGAGTCGAGTGACGTTTGTGGTAAGGTCAGTCTTTTGGGGGAGAGTGCAACGGGGTCACACTGTCCTTTGGCTGAATTGTTCAAAGACTTCCAATAAATGATATGGATGAATGTGTGTGACCTTAGATTTTCATATCAGCAAGAGAATGTAGATTGATTGATATTCCCAGGTTTACGGTACTTACCGTGTACGTACTTTGTAGCGTCATCATTTATTGACTGAGTGATGTTCCAACCATCCATTCAGTTCGGATACTAATATTTGTATCAGTTCTATTTAGAAGAATATAGGGTACTTAAAGTAGAATATCCCTTAGTATACAAAATCTATATATGCTCAGTTCTCATTTTGAGCAGAAGACCCTAGACTCCCCTCCTTTTTGCACATTGTGCCCTGCAGTTCCTTAGAACTGCCGTGGCTTGGAGAGTCCTTAGACTCCTATTCCCCTGCACATTGTACTTGTAATTCTCTAGAACTACACAGTAGTTGACGTGTTAGCTCGTAGAGTCCACCCGAGTTCCGTAGAACTGGTTAACTCTTGAACTTGATATACTAGTTCCGCAGAACTGATAGGCAGTCAGACGAAAGCCGTTTGTGTAACGGGGTAGCCCGGTACATGAAATCGACACCAAACGGTGTCAATAGGAATATTTTCTAGCGTATCAATATCCCACCAATTCTACCTGAGATGATAAATTTCTAGGAATATTATCCCCTTTTGGATAACAATCATTCGCTGCTCCAAGATTGGTTGATTAAGACATATCAACCACAGATTACCACCAATCGCTGCTAGACGCGCGCAATGAGTGGTGAGCAGGTTGTCTTCATACGCCGGCGTAGTTTGATATAGTCAGATAAAGACTAAAGTTATATTGATAGCTTAACTACATTAAATACAATTCTCGTCTTACATTAACTTGACCAAGTCGTTCAAGTAGATTAGCTTCCTCTGCACGTACTAGTGTACGTGAAGTTTCGCGGCACCCCAAGCAAAGGGTGCCCCGTTTCACCTTGTAGCACTTTGTAGTCCGTCCAACATGAACATGTTGGACGTACAAAACGACACCTTTCACATCACACGTGAAGGCTACTCCCATCTGAGTGGCTTACAATGGGAAGTAGTCGACCGCACGAGTGTGCTCATGGGCGAACCGCCATCAGTGGTAGGTTAGAGTCAATCAGCCGAGACCAGCAACATGCTGTTGTCAGCAAGTCCCTACAAGGGGAACTTGCCGTCGAAAGACAGAAGATAGCCTTGCTACAGCAGCAAGGCTCTCAGCAGTCAACGAGCGGGTCGACGCACATGCGTCGACCCGAAGCTTTGAAGATGTACAAGGGAACCACTGAAGCTTTCCTCTTGAGATGGTTAGTCGAGTTAGACGATGCCATCAGGGCCCGTCACATCGAGGGTAACGAGATGCAAGTCACCTTCGCCCTGTCAAATTTAACAGAACGAGCAAAGTCTTGCTCCTTAGGGCTCAAGCTTCACGATTTAAACGTGCTTGAGTTGTTGGAGATCTTGAAGTCTAGGCTTAAAGAGACGTTTGAGTCACCGAGAGCCGAGTTCAGAGAACGCTCTGCACTCTTGAGGCTAGAGCAAGGTAAGCGTGACGTGCACGCTTACGCACAGCACCTGTGCTACCTTGCGAGTAGCGTTACAGAGAACCATGTTGATGAGAACACGCTCATCAACATGGTTCTCTACGGCCTTGTAGATGGGTCGGTGAAGACCTACATGTTCCGAGAGGACTTCCATACGCTGGAAAATGCGATAGCGTATGCGGAACAAGAAGACTTCAGCCTGAGACAGTCTCAGGCCAACTCGTCAAACTATCGTTCGACGAGACGACAGGAAACAGGAGTTTCCGACCAGTGGACCTTTGTTACATCAAGAGTGAGAACTCTCGCTCTCTGAGTTACAAGCGAACGGCAAGATGCCATTGCTGTCAGAAGGTTGGACACCACTCCCATGAGTGCAGTGTCCCAAGCACTGGAACACGTCCAGAAGCAGGACGTGGTGACGGCCGTTGGCCCAGGAAAGGTCCGAGGCGTGAGTCCGACCATGTCGCTAAGCCGCGACAGCAAGTCGGACCGTCAAAAAACGGTCAGGTTAGTAGGGGCGGAGCACCCTGCTGATCCAGCAACGTCAAGAGAGTGTTCATGACTCTTGAAGAAGATTGTTCCCAATACACAGTCGCTGTGTGTTACTGCCCCTAGTGATGGGGAGTCTCTCATCAATTTGAAGATCGAAGTGACAAGTGGAATGTAACTTTGCGCCCTACTCGACTGTGGTGCGTCGAACAGTTTCATTCGACGCCAGTCGCTAGGGGACAGTAGGCTCAACTATGCTGAGCGAGAGTTCCCTCCAACAAGAATGACGGTGTGCCTTGCTACAGGCGCATCCGTTACAGTGAACAAACGTGTCGTGGGAATCCACTACAGGCTAGAAGGAAAGCAGTAAGATAATAACTTCATCGTATTAGAATTGGATGAAAAATTTGATGTCATTCTCGGTCTGCCATGGCTTAGAAAATACCAGCCATGGGTTAGCCGGCAGCATCGATCCGTGAAGATGCCTGCTGTTTGTTCATCGGATGGCCATGTGATGAACGTCTTGGAGCGTCCACAAGCGTGTGGATGTACTACGAGTGAGTGCGATGGCCTCACTTGTGGTATGGTCGTTAGTATGACTGCACAAGATCACAGTGTAGAAGGCCACTGCACTGTGGAACCAGCTTCCGGCACCTGTGTAGAGACACAGGCTGCGCCGAAAATTCACCGCTCGAAGAAATTGAGTGGACTGGAACACGGTTGCACATCAAGAAGGGTGCATCCGATAAGATAGACTAGTCTTGTTCAGGATGAACAACACGTTAAAGCGAGATCGACAATCAGAGAGTCGACCGTAGAGCAATCCCGATCGACTGAGAGAGAGTCGATCAAAGAGGATGTGACCGTGGTAGCACACCCACAGTAAGTACACGCAACAGAAGAGAGTTCTAGCGTTCCTGAGAGTGATAACTTTCGGAGAGTTATGTTGCCGGTGTGGATCCCCAATCACCTGCGGATGTGTTTTCCTAGAAAATCACCGAGTTAGTTAATGTCTTGGTGAATGAAGGATCAAGTGTAGGCGCTTATACACTTGATCTGGTTACGCCCCGAAGTCAGCTTCGGAAGTATTCAAGTTGCCAATGCTAGAATCTAAAAGATTCTTGCGAGATCTGCGTGGTGACAAGATCAAACATATCTGCGTACTCGTCACAGAGAACGAGTACATCGCCTATATTCGGTCGGCACAAGTGTTTGCTGAGAACAAACGTATTCTCATTAGCTCGCCGATGGAAGAAAGTGTCCTCGATGAGAAGCCTCGGATTGAGCGATACACGCCTCAATCTTGGGAGTCTTTAAAGACAAATTCTTTGTATAAGGATTTGGTGGAATTCAGGGATGTTTTCCCGGAATCCGTGCCATGCGAGCTGCCTAAGGACAAAGGCAATCAGCAAGAGATCGAACTGAAACCTGGTTCGAAATACTGCGTCATGAAGCAGTGGTCACTGCCTCGTGAACAGTGCACAGCGATCGACAAATTCTTTGCCGATCGTTTAGCGGCTGGTCATGTGAGGGAATCAACATCCCCACACAGCTCTTTGACCTTCTGTGTGCGAAAGGCCACAGGAGGGTGGCGGATAGTGCACGCGTTTAACAAACTGAACGCTGCAACGGTACCGGCTCAAACGCCGATCCTAAGAAAGGATGTCATTATAGATGGTATGGCAAAGAGTACCATATTTTCGTCCATGGATCTGATGGATGGATTCTATCAGATCCTCATGCGTGAACGGGACATCCCTTACACAGCAGTGAGAACCCCCAGTGGTATGCTCTGGGAGTGGCTAGTGATGCCACACGGTTAAGTAACGCCTCTGCAACGTTCAACAGATGTGTTACGAATCTGTTGCGATCGGCACGAGATTTTGCACCGAGTTACTTCGACGATGTCTTCGTCCATATCCCGGCTATGGACGAAAAGATGGAAGTGGAGGCTCATAGAATCCACGTCCGGAAGGTTCTTACTTAAATGCGAGAGCACAAGTTGTTTGCGAACCTCAAGAAGTGTACATTCTCAGCGAACGAAATACCACTTTTTCGCTGCATCGTGGGTAAAAACGGTGTACGGTTTGATCCGGAAAAGATCAAGGCGACTAGCGACTGGCCTGTGCCAGTTGACGTCAAGGGACTTCAAACGTTCCTTGGCTTGGCGGCGTACTTGCACAATACTCACGCAACTATGCCGAGATGACCGTACGTCTCTCTCGTCTACTAAAGAAAAAACGATAGGTGGTCATTAAGGGATGAGTTTCAGGACTCTTTTGAAGGTATCAAAAAAAGCTTGATACAATTGCCTGTGTTGGCGATTGAAGATCAGGATAGACCATTCCATGTGTTCTGTAACGCCAGCGATCTTGCAAACGTCTGCACGTTAATGCAGTACGAATCAGAGGGCGTTGAGCGCGTCGTCTGTTATCTATCGCGTCAGCTGCAAGCAGCTGAGCAAAATTATCCAGTGCATGACAAGGAATTCCTTGCCATGAAACATGCACTGGCTAAGTTTCGGGTATATCTTTTAGGAGATAGACTCTTTATCGTTTATACCAAATATTGGTTGTTACGCACGGCCGTAAACAGTCCACACCTCTTACAACGAATGGCGAGGTGGCTGTCTTTCTTTGCGGAGTACAACCTCTCCGTCGAGTATAAACCAGGACGGCTTATTGTCGTCGCTGATGCTCTTTCGCGTCGGCCCGATTTTGAGCCGTCTGCTCAACACAACAGTAGGGGTATTCCCACTGTTGCGACACCTACAGTGAGTTTTCCGTCGTCGATTCTGCTCGATGACGTGCGAAAAGTATACGTAGAAGATAAGTCTCTTCTGCGATTAATGGATTTCGTATCCAATCCATGCACTCAAGCTTTGAAAAGCTTGACGTCCCAACACCGCTCTTCAACCGAACGGTATTCGGTTCGTGATGGACTGCTGTACTGTACAGCAGTCAACGGCGACACAACTCGTGTCGTCGTTCTGGATCATAATGATTTGCGATTGCGCATCATGTTTGAGTGTCAAGATGACTCGACAAGTTGGCATCGCGGTAGAGAAAAGACTTACTTTACGTTAAGTCGTGACTTTTACTGGCCCCGCCAGTATGATTTTGCGCGCAAATACTTTCGCGCTTACGAAGTTTGTCAACGGGTCATGCCTAGTCCTTCAACCGCGCACCCTTGCAGCCTCTTCCGATTCCGGCAGAGTGTTGGCGGGTCCGCATCGATGGACTTCGTCTTCGGGTTACCCAAAGACGTTCACAAGAATTCTGGTATTCTTGTTTTTGTTGATCAATTCATCAAGAAGGTAGATCTTGTTGCTGTACCAGAGTCAATCACAGCCCAGGGCTGTGCGCGTGTCTTCACCGATACTATCTTCCGACTTCACGAGTTAATCCGTGAACTCGTGTCCGATAGGTATCCCCGCTTTACGGCGGACTTCTGGCAATCCGTGTTCCGTTTACTTGGAACGCGTTTAACGATGTCAACTTCTAACCATCCTGAAACCGATGGTCAGGCGGAACGCGTCAATAGCGTCCTCGAAGAGATGCTTCGAGGGTATGTCCACTCGTTTACGAGCTGGCGTAAGTTCTTGCCGATGGCGGGATTTGCCATCAACAACTCGGTGCTCGCGTCGACAACGCTTGAACCGTTATTCGTGAATGGCCTATGCCATCCACGTTTACCCGTCCTCTTAGAGTGTGAATCTAGTTAAAGGGGAGGTGGACTCGCTCGAACAAAAACCGATCTGGTTCTTGATCATCACCCGTTGACAGTGGTGTCGACGTGGTGGATGCCGATGTCGATGCGATCGATGTCGATGATGATGATGACGACGATGCTGGCATATTCAGCATCGCCAATGACTGCCAAAGTGAGGACGATGACACCCTCACTGGTGAAGACAACGTTCTTTTAGCAGTGCACACGAAGCGCTGCTGTTAAAAAGTATGAATTAGCAGAGGAATTCCTGCTGACTCGCGAAGCGGTTGTCTGCTTCGTTCAAGACTCTATCGCAGATGCAATAGATAAACAGAAAAGAAACGCAGACAGACATTGAAGAGAAATGTTCTTTAATTTGATATAGAGGACATAGTTTTACTGTCTACAGTAAATCTACCAAAACACGCAGTGACAAACGTGGGCAGCAGAAAATCACTTCCCAAGTATGTAGGTACATTTCGTGTGTTGCGCCGAAAGGGCAACGCATACACGGTAGAACTGATCCGTAAGATGCGTTCGCATCCTACGTATTACGTCGTTCGTCTCCGCCCGTAATATCAGTACGAGCCCGTTTCGAGAGGCGAAGAACACCTCCGCGGTCGAGAGCCGAGACCACCTTCGAGTGGTCCTGTTTCAACGAGCCAGTCTGGCCGACTAGCGAAGCGACCTGTTCACGCACTTCATCGATGTTTCGACGAGCTACAGCCAGCTCGTCACGAAGAGAACGAGTCGAAAGTTCGCTCTCAAGTTGCGCGAACGCAAAAGCGGTACGATCGTCGAGCGATCGTGCGTTAGGGAATCAAAATTATCCCTTACAAGATCATGGAGCTCCTAACGCCGAGATCGGTCATGAGCCAGGTCATCTTGTAACTATTCCGTTAGACGGTTCAGTCCTTGAACATCAACTTGATCCGACCCTCAAGCCGGATCAGGTGTTCCCGCCACCACCACATCCTTTAGCGGATTCTGGCGGTGGTCAACGCTTTCTGGTGGAGCGTATCTTGACCCACCGCGACATGATTGGCGTCCGGACGAGCTACCTCGTCCGCTATCGTGGCTATCCACTGGCGTGGGACAGCTGGGAGCCTCGTGCCCAGCTGATTGTTAATGAACTTGGTCTCGTCGAGCAGTACGACGAGACCCACCCGCTGCGTTTAAATAAGGGCCGTCGGAAAATGACCTCCCCGAGCTCGAGTACAGGGATTGCAAAGTGTAAATCCCTTCGGCCATCTCGGTAAAGATGCACGCTCTCCAGTAGGAATCATTAGGTAGGAAGGCCTCCCTAGGGGCACGGTTCGAGTTGTCCAGGCAACCTGGACACGAATCATTCCACAAGAGACCGGGTAACAATGCCTCTCTTGACAGTCGGTGTAAAATGTATCGCGACCCGACTGGATTGCGTTTCTCAAACCTGATGCGAGCTGCATCAAGTTTGGCGAGCCAGGCCTCACGGTCTGTTCACTCGATGAAATGGATGAGGGCATTCCATCCTGGCATGAAGGCTTTACCGTCTCAAACATGGCTGCCATTGTACCACCGATGTTTTACAAAATTCATCGGTGGAGAATTTTTCCTGAGCACGGATAGTTTCCGTGCTGGAATCAGGTGGGCAAATCTTCCTGCAATCGAACAAAGGGTTTTAATCCCGTTCGGTATTCATGCCGGCCACAAGTTCAATCCTCTAGATGACGGCATCCACGGACACTCCACTTGGAAAGCGTGGCGCAGGACATTTCGGTCCCTGGTATCTTTTTTGGTGCCAGCGTGAGCACTGACACCAGTGGTACCCCGATCACTGGAGTTACTTCGCTCGGTGTGATGTATAGGTGCATCACCACCATCCCCACGCGTCCTATCGCTAGATGGACTTGCGTGAGGAAAGAATTCATCAAATAATTACTCGATCTGAAGATTTCGGACATGATACCGCCGCGTTGATCAGAACTAGTCAACCTGGCTCTTGTAGTCTCCACCTCGGGTGATCTGGAGGCGTGAGGTGTCGCCGAAAGGTCGGATTAATCATCCGACTCGCAAAATAGATGAGCTCTGTCTCAGACTCATCTTGATTACGACTCGTGGTACCCGCTGCAGACGCAACGTATGTACCTGTTGCACGTGGTGACTCACCACGCGGACAATCCACGACAACAGGCGACGAATCGCCTGCTGCTGAGGTGTGAGAGGCACATTCCGCGGCCGCACGCATGCGTGCAGCTGCTCTTCTTGCTGCTGCAGTAGCAGCTCGCGTGGTTTTGAAAACCATGCGTTGGATTGGCAAATGAATGGAATTTGACCAACAAGTGCTCGCTTTCCCAGCGTGATCCAACGGTCGTCACCCTGTCCCAATCAATTAAATTCAATTAACGGGTGATTGATGGTTAAAAGGGGGGGTGATGCATAGGGGTAGCCCATTACATAAATTTGACACCATACGGTGTCGATAGGAATATTATCCCCTTTTGGATAACAATCATTCGCTGCTCCAAGATTGGTTGATATAAGACATATCAACCACAGATTACCACCAATCGCTGCTAGACGCGCGCAATGAGTGGTGAGCAGGTTGTCTTCATACGCCGGCGTAGTTTGATATAGTCAGATAAAGACTAAAGTTATATTGATAGCTTAACTACATTAAATACAATTCTCGTTTTACATTAACTTGACCAAGTCGTTCAAGTAGATTAGCTTCCTCTGCACGTACTAGTGTACGTGAAGTTTCGCGGCACCCCAAGCAAAAGGGTGCCACGTTACAGTCAGCTTGATAAATGAGTATTTAACTGACTTAAAAAGCTGTGTAGCTTGGCTACAAATACCAGACACTGATATCAGGACTCGTCTTCTGGTCTCCAGTGTCAAGACGGTTAACGGGAAGAGGGATGGATATTATTTTGTGGGCTCGAGAGATAGAGGATGCCATCACCTCGGCCCTGCTGCGGTCATAGCAGCAAAAGGCGAGCCTGGCCCTACCGAAGTTAGGCATGCGAGCCAGATATTTGGCCTTCCCTTTGGCAACTCGAAAGAAGAAGGTTTTGCCACCTAAGATATGGTAAAACAGCAGATATCTCGGGTGTTTGCCCCACCTTATCAAGCTTATCGTGTGCGATCATGCTTCCTGTCAACCCGCCAGTGTAAAAGGAACTTAGTCAATTAAGTCCAGGAGTTGCAAACTCTGATTGCTGCTATGCAGCTTGACTCTTTACCTGAGAACATTTCGGTAATCATTTGCTTAAAAGGTCTTCGCACTAAAGTTGCCAGAAAAGAAGTGTTTGTGCACAACCCTTGACATTTGAGGGTGCAGAGGACATAGCGGTGAACGCAGAATTCAACTTTAAGGCTGCCCGTTATAGGACTCATGGGCTCCGATCAAGCTCTTGAAAAAATGCTCATCTCATGGATTGGGCAAAATCCTTGTAACTTAGTCTCGCGGAGAGAGACAAGGAAGCTAAGCTTTACGCTTTCAACAGCACGCGAACATCCGTAGATGTTTTACGTGCGGAAGCATAAAAAACAATTGTCCCAATTGTCCTTTGAGTAGGACCAGACTTGGTCATTCGAGCCGACCTCCCGTCGCTAACTGACGAATTGGTAAGGTAGAAAATCGTAGAGTCGCAGTAGGCGCGGGGCGCCCCGCTGGTGAGGATTGGGGCTGTGTTGGTTTTTCTGGGAGGTGATGGAGAGCAGGTCCTAGCTCCAAGGGATTTTATGAGCAATGTCACGAAGCATTTGTTAAAGGCAGGCTTGTAAGTTGCAAAAGCAACAGTTAAGGGATTTGGTAAGCCACGGTCGATATTGATCGGCTCTGGGGCGTCGGGAAATTACGTCCGACTTTTTTCCCTAAAAGCAAGTCAGCAGTATGCTGAGGCGCTAAAAGCGCGAAAGAATGATACTATCACTGTTCGCTTGGCTACAGGTGCATTACTCACTGTCTGTAAAGTTCCTGTACACATAGACGTTAAGTTTTCGGAATCAAACAGTATTAAACGCTGTTTAGTCCTTGACTTGGATGAGAGATATGTCCATATCCTTGTTATGGCTTGGATAGAACGCCATGGGCCATGGACCGATTGGAGGTCGAAGACCTTAGACGCAACGCGCACTGTTCCTAGGGGAGCTTTGTAAAGTCATGAGACCATTACTGCTACGAAACGTAAGCGCTATTGGCGTGAGCCAAGGACTGAGACATTCAGTGTGCTGGACATCGGTTTGGCTGAACTCAATGAGTTAAACGCTGTCAAACAAAAGTTTCGAGCCAAGCTCGCTGACTGTAAGTGAAACGGAACGTACTCCGTCGAGTGATAATTATAGTGATTACGAATCACTGAATGATGAATGCATTGTTGGTCTAGAGCCAAATTATCATGGGTTGAATCCATCTGGTGAGCTTGGAGTGGCATGTCAGTACCACTGACTGATATTGGACGTGATTGCAACACGCCGAATTTTAGTCAAGAGATAGTTGGTGAAGCTCCAAATCATCAAGGGCGACGCATATTTAGTGAGCATATAGTGGCACGAAGTACCCACTGCGTGGTGATATCACTGGAAGTGACTTAAAAACAGATGGCGGTAATGAGATTGGATCGGAAATATACCAAATAAAGGCTGACGCAGTTTGTCACCTTGGGGGCGGTATAGTCCCGGATTTCGGTATTGACATCGGTTATGGTAATGAGTAACTTAATGTTGATAAGCATGTTTCCCTTGGGGATATTGTTGTACCGACTTCGGTAATTACACCGACTGTTGCACAGAGCAAGTTAAGAATGATGATGATATCAACCTTTAGGACAAGAAACTTTCAGTCTCTTTGAGACGTTCAGTCTTTTCACAACGCCAGATTGCTGTCACGCAACGCAAGGCATCTGTTTCGTTACCGAGTGATACTAGCGAGCAGGCATATACACTCGTTAATGGAGTGACTTTGAAGTAGATGAGTCTGTGAGTCTTGAGACTTTACCCTCAATGAAATCTCTGTTAAAACTAGACGAAATAAATGTCGATGAGTTTGGCCTGATCTTGAAGTCGAATGACTTACCTGCAGTAGTGGCTATTAGATCCGATATTCAGGTGAACTAGTTGTCACTTCTTGATGAAAATGTCTTGTAAGACACAAAGGTGGCACTGAGTGCTCGATGTGGGTCATCGATCTTAAAATATCCTAGATATTCGTTTTATATTTTGGTTAAGAAACGTTAAGATGTAGTGTATCGCGAACCACCTTCTAGTCTGCTTCCTGATCGAGGCATACGTCGTGAAATTGACCTGGCCCCTGGAACCAAATACTGTGTGACAAGGCAATGGTCCCTACCACAGGAGCAGTGTGAAGTCATAACGATTTTTTTGTGCAAAGCACGCAGAAGGCATTGTGCGTGAGAGCAAATATCCACACTCGACACCGACATTTTGTGTCAGAAAGCCCAATGGTAAGTGGCTTATTGTGCACGCTTACAATAAGCTCAATGCGGCTATTATATCGGCACAGACGCCTATTACTAGAAAAAATGTTCTTCAGAACGCTATGGTAGATTGTAACATGTTCAGTGCACTTGATTTTAGTCGACGGGTATTACCAGTTTCTCATGCAAGCTATTGGTATTCCGCTCACATCAGTTGGTACTTCAAACGGCATGCTGTGGTAGTGACTTGTTATGCCTCAAGGGATGTCTTGTGCCCTGGATACATTGAAAAGTCTGGGGACGCAATTATTCCGACCTCATAGAGAAGAAGAACAAAGCTATTTTAATGAAATCTTTGTCCAAATCCGTGCATACCATGGAAGGTCAGATGTGGACAAAGTTCTCAAGTGCATACGTACGATCACATTAACCATTTACGAGAAGCGCTCAAGTGCATGCGTACCCACAATATGTATGCAAATGCATCGAAATACATTTTAATGCAGAAAAATTAACTTATTCGGATGCTTCATTGGAAGGCGTGGCCTTCAAGCGTATCTGCTAACTTTAAGTCAGTTGTTGACTCGACGGATCCGTCGAATCGAAAAAACTTGCGCAAAAAACTTAATCTTGCTAATTACTTGCACAAGTACAGTGCAAATTATGCTAATGCGGTAGAGTGGGTCGTCAAAACTGTTTGATGAGACTCCAAACCACTCACTTCTACGTACTTCCAACTGTCGGAGGGGGTACCCCGATGCCGCTTGTGGACCTTGACTCACCTTGTTACCCGTCGGCATGGCGAGTGTTACTCTTCGGAGGACTTGGTGATGACATAA